GGCTGGGAGGCCCTTTTTCTGCTACCCAAACACTTTATACCCTTTGTCACCCCTTTTGAGCCTATGTTATTTTCTTTGACTACCCTCTTTTGGAATCAAGTTTAGAGTCAAAAAAAAGAGAAAAAAGAAAAAAAGTCCATGCCCCAAGAGTACAAACTGGGGCAGCTCTTTGAAAGTTCAAGTGAAAAAAAAAGAAGAAAAAAGAACTGTCGAAGGTCCATGCCCTCAAAATAGAAGCTGGGGCAACTTGTTTTGAAAACAAAAGGAAAAAAAAGAAATAAAAAAAAGAAAAAAAAAAGAAAAAGAAAAAAAGAAACAGAAAGAAAGATGAAAAATAGTTTAGGTCAGATGTTTGAACTACGTTAGACCTGATTCCTTGAAAATAAGGATAAGTAGGCATCCTCACGCTTCTGTCCAACCAAAAAAAAAAGAGAAAAGACAAAAATAGGAAAATCCAAAAATCCCCAGCTTCTGAAACTGGGGCAGAGATTTTTTGAAAGGGTCGATTCCAAGAGTTGTAAGTCTACAACTCCTCATTCTGAGTTTATTTTGAGCCTTCATGCCGACCTTTTTGTCCAACCCTATCCAAAAACCTTCCAAATAAAGACCTCCCGATATGCCAAGAAAAGCATGTAATGAGCAACGACGGTCACACGACATATAACACTGTCAGGATGCTCGCGCAAGAAAGCAAAAGAAAAAGAAAAATAGAGAATAAATGAGAGAGTCTTACTGATGAAAACCCTCATGGGCACTTTAAGGCGACAGTAAACAGAGATGAATAAATGAGAGAGACTTGTTGGTGAAAATTCCTCGGGGCACCACTAGTCGAAAGTGAGTCATAAAGCTGGTGTGAAGAATTGGCATAAACAAGCCCGACTTCAAAGGTCATAAGAATGGCAAAAGGGAAAATTGGATTAGTTTGATAGATCAGGCCGTTAAGTCCAACATGCATGTCATGACCATTAGGGCTAGTTATTGAAAAAAAAAAGAAAAAAAAAACTCTTCCTTTTGTCCTTCCGACAGGGGCATTCCTTATCAAAACAAGCAAGAAAAGATTTCAAAATCTGCTACCAGTTTTTCAGTTGCACAAAGTGAATTTGGCCAGCACACTCAGTTGTTACTGTCAACCTACCTTGAGGATTCATGCAAAGGTTCCCCCAAAAAAAAAAGACTCTTGTCAGCCTACTTGACGCAAGCAAAAATGACTGGTGATTCTCTCTGACAGACAAATTGCTCAAAAACCAGTAAGTCATTCAAGATATCAGAAAAGGTCACCTAAGCAAAGATCTCCAGTTGGGATAAGACAGATCGAGCCGCAAATACAAATGGTACTAGGTGTGAAGCAATTAGGGTTGATGCAGAGCAAAAGCCTCCTGAAGCCGACTCAAGCTGATTGAGCAGAAGCCAAGCTGCCCAAAGACTCAAGGCCACAGACCGACCACCATTTTCAAAACTAACAAATTTTTCTTTGTATGAAACAGGAAAAAAGCGGTGCAAGGAAAGTGATTCAAAAAGAAAAAAGAAAAAAAACAACAAAAAAAAGAGAAGAAAAAAGAAAAGACGAGAAGAGCCGACAAAGGGAATTTTCTCAAATCTTTGCTTTTATTTGTCTTGCTATTATGTATAAAATCTTGCCATTGATCTTCACATTTTTCCTCCTAGGATAAAAAGTCCTAGTCTGATGGATTTTCCTCCCAATATAAATCTTAGTCTGATGAATTTTTCTCCTAAGATAGAAAACCTAGTCTGATGAACTTTCTCCTATGATCACAATCTTAGTCTGATGAATTTTTCTCCTAAGATAGAGGACCTAGTCTGATGCATTTTCTCCTAGGATCAAAATCTTAGTCGGATGAATCTTTCTCCTAAGATAATAAATTAGAAGACCTAGTCTGATGACTTTTCTCCTAGGATAAACGTCTTAGTCTGATGAATCTTTCTCCTAAGATAACAAAAAGAGGACCTAGTCTGATGAACTTTCTCCTAGGATCAAAATCTTAGTCTGATGAATTTTTCTCCTAAGATAAAAGACCTAGTCTGATGAACTTTCTCCTGTGATAGAAATTTTAGTCGGATGAATCTTTCTCCTAAGATACCAAAAAAAGGAAGAGAAAAGGGACCTAGTCTGACGAATTTTCTCTTAGGATATTTTGAAAAAAAAAAGGAAGTCTAGATTTGAAAAAAAAGGGTCAATTTTTAGTTTTCTTTAGTTATCAAATGTTTAGTTTTCTTGAAATCAGGGGTCCCGCCTGGAGAATAGGGTCAGTCTTTACTTTAGTCAAGCTTAGTTTATAGTTTTCCTAGTCTATTCTTTAGTTTACTCTCATCATTTCATCAATAGTACAAGTGGTTTACAATTTTGCTAACAACTAACAAATCTTCCTAGTGCAAACTGGGGCAGAAAAAATTTCTTTTGTTTTGTCTGTTTTGTTGTAATCAGGCGTCCACCTGGAGAACAAGGGAAGACAACTCAAGTTTCAAGGGAAAGCAGTTTCGAAGGAAGACAACTCGAATTTTAAGGGAAAGCAGTTTCGAAGGAAGACAGTTCAAGTTTTAAGGGAAAATGGTTCAAGGTGCAAGGGAAAACAGTGTCAAGTAACAAGAAAAAACGGTTCAAGTTCAGCAATCAGGCGCCCACTTGGAAAAAAGGGGGAATTCAATTCAGAATACAATTCAGGTCAGCAACAAAAGAAGCTCGCGTCAAGAATGCGAGTCAGCAGTCCAAGATGATCAACAGAAGTTAGTCACAATCTAGAATAAAAAGAAAAAAAAGAAAGACAAGAAGTGAATCCAAATGCAGAAGTTAATGAAAGATGTGAGCTGCTCAAGACAGGGCTGAGGTCACAAGCTATGCATGTCCCGTCTTGGTTTGAAAAGCTGAAGAAGATTGAACTAACACCCGCAGCTAACAAGTATCAAGATTCAGATCAGAGTCAGCATGAAGAACCAACCAAGACTCAAAATCAAGTTTCAGAAGACTCATAGATAGGAATCTTGTAACTCGTAGCTGATAGGCTTAGTTAATCTTTTTTTTTTTTTGATGTAATAACGGGACCGCGGACCGGAACCTCGGCGAAACGGCACCTCTACCGGCTCTCCACCTCGGCACACTCCATCATCTCACTCACCTTTGAACTACACGTGGCATGATTCCTTTATAGCCAAGGATATGTAGGCAGCTCAGATACCAGGGCTCGGTCATATTCGCCTCTCTCTAGTTTTAGTTTCTCCAAATAAGGGTCGGGTCAAAAAACCTGTCTAGTCGTTCTTTGTCTGAAAATACTTCGTCTTTCCAGTCAAAGAGGGACAGCTGTAGACATGTGATTTTTGACCCTCCCCAAGACTTTTCACATGTTAGCATGTAGATATTAAGTTTAGGTCTAATGTCGCTATTTTGGCTACTTTTAAACTTCTTCAATTTATTTTATTTCAAAGACTAAAAAAAGAGAAAACTAACAAAAATATTTTTTTAGATTTTTTGATATTTTGATAGCTAGTTTTATTTTATTTTATTTTTACAAAGGATAAAAGAAAAGTTTCAAAAAAAATATTTTTACTTGGTTTAATGTAATTTTAAATTATAAGTAATTAGTAAATATCAAGTATTACTTGAATTTCTCTAATAGGATTATTTTAGTTCTCTTTTTAATATTGCTTACGTTAGATAAATAGTATTTTGTAACTAGTTTTATTTTATCATTAATAGGAAATAAAGCAAAAGAAAAAAAAAGAAAAGAAAAAGAAAAAAAAAAAGAAAACGTGAAAAATTTGCAAAAAGGGGTAATGAAACAAACGGAAGAAGCAAAAGCAACAAAGAAAATTAAAATGGACACCACCTTATCTCTTAGTAACAACTCACATGCACCCCATCTCTACACTCAAGTTTTTGGCAAAAGACAGAAACGGAAATATTCCTTTGGGACCACTGCTTTCTATCTCCCTTTTTCTTTCTATATAACACATGCACATACAGAAGAAGAAGAAAAAACAAGAAAAAGGGCCTAAAAATCTGAAGGAAAACGAAAAAGAAAACATGGGGAAGAACACACAAATACAGATCTGAAAAGTAAAAAGAGAAACAGAATAGAGAACGGGGAGTTAGGAGGGGAAAAAGAGAAGGCTTCCTTCTTCTTCTTCAAGAAACTAATCACAGCAGCCATAGGAGAACATAGAGCTTCACCATTCCGTCTTCTTCTCCGGCGAAGAGCCTCATCCTCTCTTCTATCAGCGTCGTCGCATCACCGGCAAATCAGACGGCCTTCTCTCCAAAACACCCTAAAATCTCTCGCCTTTAGCTACCATTTACGTCATCCCGAGCTCCATCTTTATCGGCAAAGAAACTCTGAAACCAGCAATCTTCAGTAAACGAGGGTCGTCACTTGAGGTTCAAAATTTCCGTTGAGGTTTTCGGCGAGGTGGACTCCGGTTAGATCCCTTTTCTTTACCTCGTTTAATTTCTGGCAGAAACGAGTGCATTGAAGCAATTTGTAAATATGGTTATTTTTTAACTATTAATTAATATCACAAAGTTTTTTTAATGACTGAATTTTTGCTTCCCACTATCTCCTATGCTTTATTTATTTTTGGGTGTCATTTTCCATTGAAGAATTGGTTTTACTGGAGAAATCATAAACCCACTTTGAAACCACTTTTTTGATACATTCATTGGATTTGAATTCAGTAACGAGAAAGGAGGAGCTGCATACTTTTTGAATTAGCTCACTAAATGGATATATAAATATATGTTAAGGCACGTCTCATTATTAATTGGTTTACAATCTATTCTTTGTATTTATTTTGGTAAATCTTTTAACATATATATATATACCCACAAGTCATGGCTCGAATTTAAAGTTCAAAATCATCTATATACAAAGGTTCCCTTTTCTTTCTATTCTGTTTTCTCTTTAATAATGACCATTTCATGTTGTTCTAATTTCATGTTTTATACGAATGAGTGTTGTTTTGAGTGTTTCTATGTCTGGACGTTATTCTTTTCATGCTGATTTTTTTGTGCCTTTCTTCTTAGTGTATTGTGATTAATCTCAATAACAATATATTTTCTTATCTATTTGAGTTATTTCTTTTGAGTATCTAGCTTGATATAAAAAATTAAAGGGTACAAGAGTTTTCTTCAATGAATTAATGGGCTCTCCAATTCACCTTGCCTTGGCTTCAATTTAATCTTCTATCTTAGTGACTAATTTATTCTGTCTGTACCCATTTTTCCTGTCATGAATTTTAATTTAATTTCAATACTTGTTGGTAGCAAAGTTAGAGAGGATTATGTTGGGTTATATTAAGTGTCATGACTTACTTTCTCCACCATAATATAATTATCACAATCTTTATCCCTCACAATAATTCAATGTTTAGGAAGAATAAGGAACACCGCTAGTATACTTTTAAGCGTATTTAAATAAATTATTGTGATTGTGTACACGTTCGTGTGACATAATTACGATTTTTTTTATTTTATAAAAAACAAACAAAATCGGAGTTCGCGCAACTTTGGCCAAACTTTTCTGTTAATAGTGATGGATTGTGGACACGTACGCGTGACATAATTTTTTACGCGCCAAACAAATGGGTACACGTACGCGTGACCCATTTCAAGATAATTTTTTTTAATTTAAAAGCGGTTAAGCGGCGAAAGCACATAGGTTCCAAAATGAGTAAGTAAACAATTTAGTAAGCCAAGTATAATCAAAGCGACCGTGCTAGAACCACGGAACTCGGGAGTTCCTAACACCTTCTTCCGGGTTAACAGAATTCCTTACCCGGATTTCTGTGTTCGCGGACCGATAATAGAGTCAACTTCCTCGATTCAAGATTTTAAACCGGTGACTTGGGACACCATAAATTATCCCAAGTGGCGACTCTGAATCTTTAATTGAAATAAATCCCGTTTCGATTATCACTTAAATTGGAAAAAACTCTCTTATACCCTTCCGTTGATAGGAAAAAGGTGGTGTGACAAATGTCATGGTCACTAGAGTTGGTATCTGATAAGTTAGGATTTTAAAGTGTTTATGTCCCTACTTGTCTATGCTTTGAGTATAAATTGATACAAAAACAGTCCCAAAATGTTCACAAGTTGTGCTTGATTGCAGGGTTGATTAACAAAGTGACAAGATGTCAAAAATCGGCTCAAAAAGGAGTGAAACCTGCTCAAGTATCAAAGACCAAGAGAAGTGAAGAAAAATGGGCCTATTGCGGACCGCGTAACAATGACCGCGACCACACTAGGAGGTTCAGAGGCTGGACATTTTCGAGCCTAAGGTCACGCGGCAGCGGTAGGATTCACGCGACCCGCGTAGAAGCTTCGTGGCCGCACTCCTTCTCTGTGCGGTTCACGTTCATAGGGTTCAACAAAGGGTCATTTGTCCTCATGCGGTTTGTGGTCACGTCTGCACGGACCGCGCCAGTTTCCTTCGTGGCCGCGGTACACTCCCACGTTGTCCGCATCCCTCAGTTCAAGTCATCAAACAACTGAAACCCAAGAGCCAGTGCGGCCGCGGTCCGTTTTGTACGGCCTGTACTGACCCCACAGGGGTATTTTTGTTCAGTTTTTCCAGCCTAGTATAAATAGAACATTTTACTATTTTTTTAGAGCGGAGGTCAGATCTGAGAACAGGAGAAAAGATACGCTTGGTGTTGTAGCCATTTTTGGCATATTTGCTTCCCATTAACAATAGATTATTGTATTTTCTTCTTAGTAATTAATTAATATGTGTAGTTCTTCATCTATTTCTTCAGTTTCTTCTTTAATTATGTGTAGTTAAACCCATTAGCTAGGGTTGTGGCTCAACCCTAGTGTGGGTAATTGATGGGTGTTGCCATCTAGGGTTAGATTGACTATGGGTGTTTGTTATTTGGGTTGATTTTATGATTTAATTTAGAATTGGTGGTTGCAAACACTGATTCAAGCTTTGTGGGTTTAACTNTAACACGGATTCAAGCTTTGTGGGTTTAACTCTTCTTGAGAAAGAGAGTTTATGACCTCAAAATTGACCCAACGAGGAATTGGGATGGACTCATGAGAAATGATAGTCCCAATTAACGGGTTAAATCTCGAGAGAGTAATCACCCTACTTGAACCATAGTTTCTTGGTCAAATTTTCCAACCCAATTGGTCTCGAGAGATTCAACTGGGTAAAATTATTCTCTCTACCGAGAGGTGTGAGAGTGGGTAAAAATTGTGCAACGATTATAGCATAACCCCCAAACAAGTCAATCGAAGCTAAGTAACATCTACTCGTCAATTAGCCACCAAGGTAATGCCACAACCCTAGTGCTCTTTCTTCACATTAATTACAACTTAGCAATATTCTCCTAGCATAATCTAGCTTTAATCCATAGTTTTATAATAGTAGTTATAAATACAAAAACTCAAAAGATGATTGAAGTGACATTAGAAGCACAACCACAACTCTAGGCTAGACAGAAAATACAACTCCACTACTAGCGCCTTATGAAAATTCGATCCCGGACCTCTATTCGGGTAAAAGCTATTGTGATCCGCTCTTCCTACCATAGTGTAGTGTCGAGTTGATAGCGATCAACTTTTTGGCGTCGTTGCTGGGGAGCTTACGGTGTTGACTATATGTTTAGTTAGTTTTGTGTTGTACTTCTCTTTCCTTCTTGTTTACTAATTTCGTTTGTGTCGATCAATCAGGTACAATGGCTCTTAATGCAAATGACCCTCTCGGCAATGTGATAGCAGGGGAGGAGGTAGAGGATCTCGAACCAGATGAGGTCTTACCTCAACTTCCACAGAGAGGCCGACATGTCAATGTAAATGCAAATGAGAACAACAATATTCCAGACCCTCTTCCGCCACCACCGAGAGTGGCTCCTAGAATTTTACCAAATCAAGGATACGCCAGTGCTATTGTTCCTCCCCAAATCCGAACGGGGAACTTTCAAATCACAAATGTTATGCTGACCTTGCTCGAGCAAAGAGGGTATTTCACGGGTGCCTCCAATCAAAATGCCTACAAGCACTTAAAGGGGTTCGTAGATACATGCTGGGGTAGCAAGCAGACCAACGTGTCCGAGTATGCATTGAGGTTGAGGCTTTTCCTGTTCTCTCTTCGGGGTAAAGCATTGGATTGGTTAGAAAGGCTCATCAATCATTGTATTACAACATGGGATGAATTGGCAGATAAATTTATTTCCAAGTTCTTTTCTCCAAGTCATATGACAGCTCTTCGGGATGAAATTCTAGCTTTCAAGCAAGAGCCAACGGAACCTTTACACGAGATATGGAAGGATATAGAACAATGGTGAAAGAGTGCCCTAATAACGACATGACCGAGGCTATGATTCAACAAACCTTTTATCGGGGCATCAACACCACGAATCAATGCATTGCGAACCAATTGGCTGGAGGGAACTTTATGAAACTTTCTTACCAAGAGGCATGTAATATACTTGATGAAATGGCCGATAGGGGTCACACAAATAAACCCAGCACGGTCCGCGGTCACTTTCGTGCGGCCGTGCTGGTAGGTGAGTACGGGTCCTAATGGGGCTCTATAAATAGAGACCAAGGGTCTCATTTTACCCTTTTTGCAAATTGGAAACCCAGAACCCTAATTCTACTGTTCATCCCCGTCCAAAACTGAGATTCTTGCTTGTGTGGATATATTGCATTCATTCTTCATAATCCTAGTAACATTTCATGCATTTTTGATTATTACTCTTTTATTTTTATTTTAATTGCTTACCAGTAGTCTGTAACTTCTTTGCCTTCACAATTGTCTTCGAATTGTTAGTGTAGGGTAGCTTCCATGTTAGTTTGAAATAACTAAGGATTAGGTACATGAGTAGGGACAAGTAGGGGTAAAAAGTTGAACAAAAATAGAACAAAAGCATGCAATCCCTAGTTTACTCACTGAACCTAACCCAGTGCGGCCTGCGGTCGCCTTAGCGCAGTCCGCGGTGCCCTAACGCGGTCCGCGTTATGCTTCCACGCGGTCTGCGATGCTTGAATGACTGAGGAACAACTTGTGTCTAGCGCGGCCGCGGTAATGTTTGTGCAGTCCGTGCTAGCCCACAGCGACCGCGACTCCATTTTGTGCAGACTGCGGTGTGAGATTTAGAGAAGACCCTTCCTGGCTTTTTGATCGGTGCGGCCCGCGGTCGCCTTAGCGCGATCCGCGGTGCCTCCAATGCGGCCGCATTCCTAATGGCGTGGTCCGCGGTGCATGGTTCTGCAGCAGTGTCTGCAACTTTCATTTTGCTTCTGCAATTTTAATTCAGTCACATGTTTCACTGCCTGTGCTTCAACTAACAATGTTAGATGTGTTTGTTTGCAGACAATGGTAAAACAACGAGGAAGAGGTGCTAAACAACCCGGCCGAGGTGACTCCTCCAGGGGAGGAAAAGGGAAACAAGTTAAACTCACTTCCCGACCTACACTGAAAACATGTAAACAAATTGCTATAGACGACCAATCGGGGAGTGAGTACGTACCATCCCATGACCTCTCTTCTGATTCAGGGCCAGCTACTGCAGTCCCGACTTCACATATTGTCCAATCCCCACAACGTATATATTCTAAGTCGTTTGATGGCTCAACAACAGGAAATGGTGAATACTCCACCTCCCCCACAGCTTCAGTATCTGGGGAGAGTGCAGAATACGGGACTAATAGTGATAATGAGGTACCGAACAGTGGGGTGCCCCAGGTTGGGGGTGTTGAGAGAACTAGAAAACCTGAAGTTTCGGAAGATTGGTTTGTCAGCCAGGTGGCATTCCACAAATTTAGAGAATGGTGGACGGCACGGAAGTTGATAATTGAGCGGAGCTTTATTGACAAAGACCTTCTACCCCTAAACCCCAATGAGCATAGATAGTTCCAGGCTCGAGCGAGTTGGGAGTTCCTTAAAGACAATTGTTTGAATGCAAATGAGCATATGGTCAAGGAGTTTTACAGCAATGTGGCTCATATCATGAAAGGCACTAAAGTGACGAAAGTGAAACAAAAATGTGGTTTTCACCGGGAAGGCGTTGAATGAGTATTTGGGGTTCATTGACGAAGATAAGTCCATTTACAATGAAAAGTTAGCAATGGGTGAGGAGATTCGTCCGTGGTTAGCTTCGTACCTAGCAATCCCGAGTATGGTTCCATAATGGCTACAAGCAGGGACCAAAATACTTCGGAGAACTTTCAACTTCGAGGCTAGAGGGTGGTTGACCTTTGTATGCAGTCGGCTCGATCCAACCACTCATGATCAGACTATTCCACTTGCCCGGGTGGTTCTTATTGCTTCTATTATGGCAGGTTACCCTATCAATGTGGGAAATGTGATATCCCGCACCATTTCTGTAGTAGGGGTTGAGCATGACCGGAACTACCCTTTTCCCAGCACCCTT